TTTAGGGGGTTTAGGGGGTTTAGGGGTTTAGGGGGTTTAGGGGGTTTAGGGGGCTTAGGGGGTTTAGGGGGTTTAGGGGTTTAGGGGGTTTAGGGGTTTAGGGGGTTTAGGGGGTTTAGGGGGTTTAGGGGTTTAGGGGGTTTAGGGTTTATAAGGGGTTTAGGGTTTTAGGGGGCTTAGGGGGTTTAGGGTTTATAAGGGGTTTAGGGTTTTAGGGGGTTTAGGGGGTTTAGGGGGTTTAGGGTTTATAAGGGGTTTAGGGTTTTAGGGGGCTTAGGGGGTTTAGGGTTTATAAGGGGTTTAGGGGGTTTAGGGTTTAGGGTGGATGCCCAGTAGTACCCTTAACTTATTCCCTTTTTGTAGTCCTAGGTTCCTTATAAAGTTACCCAATACCAAAAAGAGAGGCCTTTTTATTCTTAGGTTACTGGGTATCCTAGTTTTTTAAACTGCCATCAAAACTTTTTTGTCAGTAGGGGGTCCCTAACCCTATCTATTTATGTATCTTTCTTTTTAATTGGGGGAGGTCTTCAAAGACGGGTGTGGTAGGCATCCTACTTTTCAGGATTTGTATTTTGTTCCAGGGTTTGTAGGGTTCTGGGGGTTGAATGCTCGCGCGTGTAGTTCGGGGTTCCGGCTGTGTGACATTTAAAAGTTTAGGGTCTGTCATATAGTGTTTTTTAGGGTTAGTACACGGCGCGATCCTCAGCCTGCTAGATGCTAAGCGAATACAAACCCCGAATTTCAATGGACTCTATAGAGCCTGGTGCTTCAGGGCTTGAATATATACCAAGATCAAATTGCGAGGGTCCTTGTTGTGCGCAATCTTTCTTGTGAACCAAAGCCCAAAGCCCTATTCTTGATTCTTGTTTTTTGAGTGTCTAATATGTATAGGGAACCCTGTGCTGGCTGTCAAGGCCGCTGCATTAGGGTTGCTTTGGGGTTTTGTAGCTTCACGGCTCTTCGGTTCAGCTTTCGGGATTTGGGGTTTGGGATTTGCGGCTCAGGGGTTCATGTAGGGGCCTTAATTATTAGAAGAGGATTTTGGGGCGCAGTATACTATAACTATAATAGGAAACCCCAAAATAGCATTGGTAACTATTCAGGCCCCTATATCAGTTGAGGCTTCAGGTTTCGTGGACGTAGGTCTTGGGGTGATTTGGGGTGTTGGATTTGGTGGTGCCTCGTTGCCTTGTAGGGTCTATATAGGCTTGGCGGTTAGGACCAACCCAGAGAGCCCAATACCCCTTAATTAAGGAATATAGCTTAAATCATAATATGAAGCCCTATATAATTTAAGCCATATTCCTTAATTAAGGGGTATTGGGCGGGAATGAATCGTGAGGGGCTCCACCATTCTTGCTTGAGCTGGTCCAAGCTGTGGTACGCTCCGCCATCAGAAACGCCGTTCCTCCAAGCAGAACAACCCTAAACCCTATACCCTAAACCCCTAAACCCCTAAACCCTATACCCTAAACCCCTAAACCCCTAAACCCTATACCCTAAACCCCTAAACCTTAAACCCTAAACTGACCAGTGGGACGTCAAGGAACTGGAGATCTTTCGGGCCAGGGCTTTGTTCAACTGCCTCGGAACAGGCCTTCGTTGTCCAAGCCACTGCAAAAGGGCAAAGGCTGGCCCAGTTTGGAGGCTCTCAAGAATAGGGTTTAGGGTTTAGGGTTTAGGGTACAAGGCTCTCAAGAACTTGTGATTGAGCGATTGATTTTGCAATGCCTTAGCCTTCAACTTCGACGAATGGCCCGGCTTCAACATTGTTGTATGGGTTCTGAGGCGGGAGCATAATAATATGTCCAACTTTATGGCGCAAGCAAACACATGAACGCAGACAAAAGATGGAAGGAAGGACATGCTCAAAGACCTGACACCTTGAAGCCCTCAATCCCACAGGCCGCAAAGTATCTATATAACAGATTCTAGGTGGTTTACATCAGGAGTTACTATAATGACTTGGTGAAATATCCCGCGTAGTACATTAAATAAACCCTCTGGGAATTCCGACAAGCCAAGGCCTGCTGTTCCTCCCTCCTCACCGGAAGAAAGCGAAGAAGCCACTGTCGCGGACTCAGCGATTCAGGGTTCAGGGTTCAGAGGTAAGGGTTTACATTGTGATGCAATAAAGGCATGATCCATGGTACAACATACTTTAATGAAATGACGTACTATCATACAACACAAGTGTGGGAATCTACATGATCCAAACACAAGATAGTGCCAACTCGAAGCACGACCCCGGGCAAAGAAACCTCAAGTCTCCGGCTCCACCACTGCGAAGGCCTTCACAATTCGCAATAAATTCCTTGCGCGATAAGCTTCAGGACTTGAGGATTTCTCTTGTTGTCTCATACTACGCCCCAAGCCCTGGCTTCTAAACCCTGTTCATTCTCTATGCTGTACTGCAGTATGGAAAAAGGTGTTAAAAAAAAAAAACCTGTTCATTCAGCCCCGAGCCCGAGCCTTGCCAGGCGCCTCCGAGCGCTGCGCCGGCAGAGGTGCAGGAGCAGGAGACAGGTCGGGAGGGGCCCTTCAGAAACTCCGAAACCCCCTTGAAGGAGTATACTCGAGATCATAGGGACGTTTGAGATTCTTTTCCTGAAATCATAGGGGAGACTGAATATGAGGTATAAGGCAATGCTATTTATCTTCGTCCCGTTGTAGCAGCAAGCATAGGCTAACCCCACACCTCACATCCTGACCTCCCCCCTATGCTTTGACCCCAATTCTCTAACCACCTAATAAACCGACCTTCCTGATACAACCCAAACCAAAAGCACTACCTACATCCACCATCTTACCACAATCCTGACCCACAAAAACCGAAAGCATAGGCTAACCCCACACCTCATGCCTTATAACCCCCCCCTACGCTTTCACCCCATTTCTCAAACCGCCTAACATTTCAACCCCTAAATCCCTGAAAACACAAAGCACCTCCCAAAACAAATGCAATTATCCAAAACACAAGCCTTAACCCAAAGCGCCTAACCACAACCAACACAAGATCCACAATAACCACAGCAACCGCCATACGTTGGGAAATCCAGCGTACCCAGCGATACTGGCACCAAAAAAAGGACACACCCCAAAAGGAACTACTTTGGGGCCCCTGGGTAGTTATAAAGGCCCTTATGGACGCTGATTAAGGGGGTGGAGCCTGCGGGGTCCTGCCTTGCACTTGGAGTGAAAGTGCCTAGACCGGAAGCCCTACTAAAGGCAGGGGCCTAGATAAGTACCGATACTATTTTGGGGGTTCTTGATAATGATTATAGTACAATGGGCCCCAAAAGCCTATTCTAATTCTTAACGCCCCTATATTATGAACACTGAACTGGGGGTGTCGAGATTCAGGGTCAGCTGGGACTACTGTTGGTGTGCATGCGCTGCAGCATTGAGCTACCAAACCTGAACCTTACTTACCTTCCCTGCAATTCAGCACCAAGCCCACATCGAGGATGGCACCTCGGATGCTATCCAGAGAGGCCCCCCAACACCCCTTGATGCAACCAGAAAACCTGGCAACTCCTATAGAATAGAACCTCGAAATTCCAGACCGGCTGATCTTGGAGTTAGCTGTGCCGAGCTCTTGCGGGAATGAGGGCTTAAGGTGAATTCCAGACCCGTGGAGAGGTTTGTGACAGCCTTCGTGATTCGTAAGAATACCCCCTTAGGCACCCTATATACGTTCATGGCGCAATATGACCACCCCGTACTCGGTCATCTTCCATCAGATCTAGGGTCTATGATCGACACAAGCAAGATATGCTGATTCTAGGCCCGCTTCAGGGGTTCATTTACAGGGTTCTTAGGGATCTATAAGGGTTCCATACTGTATTTATTGCCGTCAAGAAGTATGTATCTTACAACGAATTATACAGACACTATACGGTGATACTGTTACGATGCAGTTTCAGCAGAACGCATGACCAGGCTTCTTGCCATCTGAAGAATAAATCTCTTTTCAAACCTAGTGCACACACATCCTAAACCCAACATCTTAAATGGTAAAGCTTTCGAACATCGCAGGTTCCAGACCCCTCCCAGAGATTCCCCAGTCAAGAAATATTCCTGAAACGATGCTGGGCTTCTTCACGACCATTGCTTTAACATGGGTTGTTTGAGGAATTACTTCAATACGGAAGCGGGCAAAAGTGCCGGCCCGTTATATAGATCATAAAGACCCCGAACTCCAAACTCCAAAGCAGAACCACCAAAAGAAAGCCAGATTGAATCCTGAAGCCCAGACCGTAGGATGAAAGAGAGCAGAAAACCGACAACCCTGGACCCTTCAAAGGGGAAGATCCCGGGTCTCACGGAGGGGCAGCTGGAGTTTTTCTCCGACTCGCAAAATGCTTTGGCTCTTGACGTTTACGCTTCAGGGTTTTGGATTCTCAGATACTTGGGTTTATGGTATAGCAATGTTTCAGTTTAGGGTTTAGGGTTTAGGGTTTGGCAGCTTCGCTCGGGAGAAGTGACATTGAATGCCATTTGGCCACAATGAGCATGCACTTTTACGATCCCCGACCCCCTTCAAATTTCCCAGATCTCCGAATCCCAGGCCCAAAATCCGCAAAGGGTCCTATGTACCGATATAGTAGAATGTAGGGTTTTCACATTAGGTTTTTTTATTATGATTTAGGGAAGTATCCCCCATAACAGTACAAAGGACCCTTTGGGATCAGACCCTAACAGCCAAACACCTAAAATTCAAATTGCTCCGAGCGATCACAACAAAATTGTCCAAACCAGGTGCAAAGCCATGTCCACATGGCATTGGGATCCCTGGCGATCCTTCTCATTGCGATGGAATCTTGTCAAATTCAATCTATGCCTTTGGTTTAAGAGTTACGCCTCACTGGCGGCAGGCTTCAGGGCTTCATGTTTACGTTTATACCTTAGCCTACCAAACCCTACTTTTTTGTAGGTTCTTATTATGAACCTTAATATATGGAATTTATAGGGACCCTACTTTTTTGTAGGGTTTGGTAGGTTAAGGTATGCACCTTTGTAGAAGTCAACTACGAGGATTTCTGCTTTTCGGGTTTTATACTTACTCGTGTCCTCTTTGAACGGCCAGCTTCTCACTTCTGGCGCAGCTGTCCTTTTGAGTCCGTGTGCCGATTTCAAGGTTTGTCCCCTGCATTCATAGCGGGCTCGGAATGCGTTGTATTCAGGTACGTCGATGCTCCTGGACTTAGCAGCAAGGCATACTAAGATTGGTGTTGCAGAGTAATGTTAGGGAGCACTCGTGCGAGCTAGGTTTGTGCATATTCCACCAAAGATTGCGCAAGCAGCGGAGCCCTGACGGGTTACAGCCGGGACCAGGCCAAGCGTAAGACTGTTGAAACGCCTTTCGGGTATGAAGCCTAAACCCTAAACCCTAAACCCTATGTAAATCACAAAACGGATCAACCCAAAGCTCTTAACCAAACCCTGCTTCGAAAGACCGAAACTGCAAAGCATTATGATATCTACGGTGTCCCTCGATACCCCTGATAAGCACTCGCAGTCGTCAAAAGAGCTTAAGCTATGATGCCTGAACCCTGCACTCACTGACCAGTCACTGCCCAAGGCGTGGCAGCAGTGGGCTGGAATGGGCCCAGGCGCCACGAGAGTGGCAACAGTACCAGTGAAGGGAGAGACGGAGCACACACCAAAGGGTTTACCTCGCACATGACCGTGCAGGCCTTTCCCCTCTGAGAGATAGGAGAGAAGGCACTTTAGCCTGTGCTAATGCAAGTTTGAAGTATGTAAACTATTTGGGTCTAGATTGCGTGAGTAGGGGCCACCCTTGCGTATTTTTGAAATTGCTGCCTGAGCCTGTTTCGTTGGTAATTCTGCAGCTGGTCAGGCAACTTTGGGCTGTATATCACCCTACCATAAGGGGAGCGCATCGCAACTCCAAGCCGCACTCTACGCCATCTGCAAAGGATGTTAAGCCTTACACCTTTTCTGTCGGGTTTTCCCCCACCCCCAAGTCTTTAAAACCTTGTGAAACTAATCATTCAACTGTAAATCCTTCGAAAGCCTTGTCAAGAAGTCTTACGAGAAGCCGTTATCTGGACCACAGAACGGTCCTTTTTGTGCCATAATCTCTGCTTTTTTGCAGGTCAGATACTCCAAAAACATGTGGCTTGTTGAGGGCCACTGAAGAGCCCATTACTTATGCCCTCGTAAAATCCTGTCAATGCCTTTTTTTGTTGGGGGGCGTGCGGCTCAAAACACCGAAACCAAAACTTCCCTAAACCCTTAACCCCAACCCCCGAGACCCTTGCACATCCCTTTAAGGAGCCCTTTAAGGGGACCCAAGAGACCCTTCACCCCTACGATGAGCCCTGGTAGCCTAAAACGCTCTTCCAGGCCGCCAAGCCAAGGCTTCCTTCACCAGGTCGCTGTCAATGCATCTTGCCTTGGTGTTCTTTAGGGTCTTAAAGGGAACTCCAGAAAGTTGGAATATGGATTAATGGTAGGATCCCCTATAATTTACCTTAAAGGGTTTAGGATAATCATATTCCAACTTTCTGGCTTTTACTATAGGGCTTAGCGGTTTAGGATCCAGGGATTTATACTCTTTCTTAAGGCGGTCAGAGGAGGAAAATACAATCTCTGCTTGCAGGGTTCTGTGAGGTGAGGAGAGGGTTCTACAGGGGCTCATAATCGGGTTTCTAATGAGCATTGTACAGGGTTTCTTCCTTGCTCAATGCTTCTGGTCAGCGGAGTTCTAACTAAGGGATTTGGGGCTTAGGCTGCAGGGGCCTGCAGTTCCTGGTATGTTTTGGCACTTACAGACCCTCTACCTTGAAATTCTGATGATTTTGTGGGGACCCTCAAGACTGGAAAATCTGAGACCCAAAGAGAGCCCAAAGCACTCCTGAGGAGAGTCCGAGGCCTTTTAAAGAGATACCTCGTGCCCTTAGGGTAATTGGAGGGTTTAGGGTTTTGGACCCTTGGGGGAGGGGGGTTGGAAATTTGGGAAGTGGGGGAGGGGGGAGAAGGTAGGTTTAGGGTTGTGGGTTTAGGGGGGATGTTTGTTTTTGGTGGTCCTCCGCTTTGCAGCCTACAGACGGCCAAGAGGCGACCTTAATCTTAGAGCCTTCGGATTCAGTGTTTAGGAGAGCATACGACAATTACTTCTGATCCCTTAAATCCCAAACCCAAAACCCCAAACCCAGAGGGTTCACTTACGGAGGTTGCTCTTCCGAGTGTTGGAGGCCAGGAGGTTTCAAGGTTTCTGTGGCCTAGAGTCACCAGGCAGGGTATCGGGATTCAGTTTCTGCAATTTCCATACTCTTCCTTAGTTGAGCACTATGACTATATAGTAGAAGCCCAAAAGTTGGAAACCCCCACAGCCTCAATCCTTAAGAGTAATGTATACGAAATCCCGGCGCTATTTGGCCTTAATCCGGTTTCCAACTTTATGGGGTCTACTGTAGTGGAACATGCCCAAAAACCCTCCTCCGACCATTAGGGCCCCTACATCATAGACTTTGTTGATCACAAAGGATCCCCATTCCAACTATTTTCGCCCGCATTGACACGTCCTCATGCAAGGCGTACATGGCACGGTTGGGCATCCACGTCGCAACAGCTTCACATGCAGACCTGCCTTAGGGCCAGCTGTGCCTAATTACAGCCTTGGAGTTGAAGAAGATCAAAAGTCGGCTGAAAGAGTTTCTGGACCTCAAGCACGGTCTGGCCGTGCCCGTCAGGTACGGCCTTGCTACATTCGGTTTAAAGTCGACCCACCACACCTTCAGGATCCACAGTGACTCTGGGCAGACGCTTTGCCGACATCGCTGAAGATGGTAGATGATGGCGCTGCGTTGCAGGGGCCATGCACTAAGACTCCAATATCCCTTTATTAAGGAGTATACCTTTAATTATAGTAAGATCCCTAATATGATTTATGGAATATTCCCTAATTAAGGGGTATTGGAGTCTCTGGGCAGGGGCCATGGGTCCAAGGGATAAATTGTTTCGGAAGCGCCGGCCAGAAAGCTTGGGAGCCGGCCCCGAAGGCTGAGGCTGACAAGACACCTGAGTTCCAGGAGGGATCGGAGGATCCATTCCTGTCCTACTTAAAGGATCATGGGACTTAGTAACTAGGGTTATAATTAGGGTAACTATACTTATAACCCCAATTAAGGCACTTATAACCTTATTTACTAAGTCCCATGATCCTCCAAGTAACCCACTTCGAGGTCCTATGCACAAGCGGACGAAGACCACCTGAGCACTCATTTGGGGACTGTTGATGGTTGGGTCCTTGGCCTTGCCATCCAGGCAATGGTCGCTGCACCTTGATGTCCCGACGCACGTAAGTTTCTGGCCACTACGAACGCAATCTTGTCACCGCACTTGAATGGGCCGACAGCACCGAACTTTTCTTCCTCCGAGCGCAACTTTTGGATGCTGTAGATATGAGGCATTGTTGCAACTTTCTCCGCAGCGGTTGCAAAACACCACTTTGCATCGCAAAGGTCCCTGAAGCACACTTTTCATGCTTCTATATCTCCTACCTTTTACTAAAGCTATATGTCTCAGACCGAGGCGACACGATGTTGGAGGGACCTCTAAACCTCAAGCCTAATTAGCAAGATCGCTTGTCAGACTTGTGTTATCCCTTGCGGCAGGCAGGACGTCATTGTCCCTTGTTACTTTTGTCGGCTTAACTCGGGTTGCAAGTTTTGTCCTTCCCTAGGCTGATCCTTGAGACAGGCATCACGGGATTTGATACCTCTGTTCTTTCCGAGTCGTTGTATGGATGCTTTGTAGATGCACATCAAGACGACCAGATCTCCGAGTAACTGATTCCCTTAACCGAAAACTCTAAACCCAAAACCCTATAAACTCCATGCCAAAGATTCCCAAATAATTTGCTGAGTGAGACAAGTTCGAAAAGCGAACCTTTGGTCAACACGGAGCTTCAGACCTACAAAACCTCCACCCTTTAAGTATAGAGATCTAATTAACAGTGATTTTCCTTTTCCGTTTTCGTCCATTTATAGTTTTGAAAGTACTGCAACAGACCCCAACAGCTCACTTTAGTAGTTCAAGGTTTCGATAAGATCGGCGAAGCAATCCCTAAACCCTAAAATGAGAAGCAGTGGTCGGGAATCCTCAGGATACAGCTGAAGCCGGAGCTCAACAAGCAGGAGGCTAGGGCCTTAGGGGCTTCACTCCTGTTGATGGACAAAATCCTGCATGACCCTAAGGACTCTAAACTATGGGAACTATGGTATATTCCTTATAATGGGTAATGCAAGATTTTGTCCATCAACGGTCTCTCTGTTTGGGGGGGCCATTCCCTCGGCGCGAAACCAATTAGTATAGGGTTCCTTTGAAGAGGTAAGGGTACTATCGCTGTTGTTGGGTCCGGCCCTAGTGCCCGAGACCCTACCCACAAATAAACCGAAAAGCATCAAGAAAATTGCAATTTCGGGTTCTGAACAATCAGTAGCGGAGTCCCCTCTATTATAGCCTATATAACCCTGGCCCATTTATGAAGCAAGCTCTACAGCAAACCCTAAACCATGAAAACCCTAAAGACCCAAAACCCTAACAAAAACAGAAGCCTAAAACCCTAAACCTTAAAGCCACTGAAACCCTAAAGCCTAAGAACCCTCTAAGTAGGCCCGAGATCCCTTCAATGTACCGCGAAGGATGTTGCCAGCTCCCGGCCTTCGGACTTAGGATTAGGGACCCACAGACCCAAAAAAGGACAGAAGCATAAGGATTTTACAGGGATATCTTTGCCTTGTTGGGCTTCATTATAGGGGGGGTTATTGGGATACCCCTATCCTAATTGTTGCTTATGTGCCTTCTGTTGGGGCCCTAATGAGGCTCTGGGGTCCGAGTCGCTAGGCAGCTTTGTAGCTTGGCTCCTCTATGTTACTATCATTTTTTGGACAGTCCAAAGGATTAAAGCCCCCTATGCTCGTGTCAAAAACCTCTTAGCCCTATTGCTTCCGGGTACGGTTAGGGGTCGAGGATATAGGGTTTAGGATGGAGGCTTCAGAGTGTCTGGGTTTCGGGTCTAGGGCTTGACATGAAGGGTTCAGGGTCGAGTAATTACGCCGTGCACAGCATGCAAGTGTTCGGGATGTATTCTTGGGTATGTGTGAGTGGGTGGCGGGGGTTGAGATGTGGCGGGTCGGTTGTTAATGATACGTTTCGTAATTATCTTAACACGTGTCTTATCACGCATAATGGCATGTTTGGCTTTCTGTTTTTCGGGCACTCCAACGTACTGGACCGTCTCTGTTTGCTGAGTACCTTTTCGACATACTGTAGTAGCAATACGATACTGACTTTGACAGTGTTAAGAACACTGGCTATTACAACGAACAGTACATGTTCGGGGAAGACTTACGCCCTGAGCCTTACATCTCTGAACCCTAGATGCGCATGAGACCCTAAACACTACACCTCAGTTGTGGAGCTCTAAACCCTGAACCTTAAACCCGTGTTTCGTCAGAACCGAACTAATAGACTCACAGAACCCTTATAATCGGACCGAAACTTTGAACCCCGTCCCTAACCGAAAGCAGTGCGGAGGTGCAGATGCCTTGCACATCCCTACACCCTGAACCTGAATCCCTGACAGCCCTAAAACAACCTTGAACGCAACACCTTCAAAGCCTTCAAACCCTCAACCCTAAGCGCCCAAAGCCTGATACGTTGAGCCCCAAATCCTTAATCTCAAAAGCAACCCAAAATCCAGAAGCCGGAAGCCCAACATCTTGATTGCTAAACCTTAACTACACCCCAAGTCTCGAACCCTAAACCCTATAAACCCTAACCCCTAAATCCCTACACCCTTGCTCCCAAAACCCAAAGCCCAACATCTTGACTGCTAGGCCTTAAACCCGAACTCCCAAGAGCCCTAAACTTTGAACCCCTAGCCAAACATCCCAAAAGCGTTATGCTTTGAACCCCTTAACTCCCTAACTCCCAAAAGCCGCCTAAACCCTAAACCCTATAACCCTAAACCCTAGGCGGAGATGGAGCAGACACCTTACAACCCCGTGGCCATCCAGAAGAGGATGCCCGGAGCAGGCCGGCTGAAGAGAACAATGCGTCTTCAAACTTTGGGCTCAGGTTAGAGGTTCTACAAAGGTTACTCTAATGGGTCTAGTACGCTTTGTCTAGCGGTGCAGGGGCTGGGATTTTCGCTTCAGCCCTGTGTAGGGCATACGCACCTTCGACATCGTCAACAGCACGCATCTTTGTGAGCCTTTAGAACCAAAATAAACGACAATACGTTTTGACATAACAACTTGTGGTTTTCGTAGAATACAAAAACCCACAAAGTGTCGAAGTCTCGCCCCGCTTCTGAGCCCAAGAAACAACGTCCAAACCAAACTTGCCACCTCAGAGCTTCACGCCAATAAACATTCCCGAACCCTGAACCCTAAACCCGAAGACCCCAAGCCCGAAAGCCTGAACCCTTTACCCTGGGCATCAAAAAAGCCCAAAAGCCTTATATAGTATGGTCTTTGGGCCCAAAAGCCTTTATATATGAGTCACGTCCTTAGATTCCTAGGGTTAGGGCCTTTAGGCACTTAGAACCCCTTCTGAAAGTCAAGTGCTTAGGCACCGCAATAAAAGCCCGAAGAACACACTGGAAACTTAAGATCCCAAGATCTTTGCCAAACTCCAAACAAGGCCCTAAACCAGAAACCCAAAATCATCCTAAAACCTTAAACCATAAAAATACCCAAAATCCCGAAAGCCTGCGCCCTCAGCAGCCCTCAACCCTGCACCCTTCAAGGGAACCCCATGTCTCACAGATCCCCCTTTTTGAACGGAGCCCTACACAAAAAAAACCCTTGAAGGGAACCTTATGCCGGAAATCCTTTCTTCAAAGGAGCCCTCAACCCTAAACCCTGAGACCCTAAACCCTATAAAGCCTATAAACCCTGTAAACCCTATAAACCCTACACAAACCCTGGGTTTAGCGTAGCATCTCGCAAGGCACACAAAGAGTGGGAACGATTCTTGAGCGCGTGGCGCACAGAACAGGAATACATGCGCGGGCGATTCGCATCCTGGTAGTCCATGACATCGTCAGGCTGGCATCGAAAGTGTGGAGGCCGTCGTCTGTGCAGAGGGAGTGCCATGCACGGCGTAAGCCCGCAATCAACCGTAGATCTTTCTACTTCACTCAAAAGGTCACAGGGTTGCTGAGCTAGCTGCAGGCAGGTTCTGCTGCATGTAAATCGCGTGGCTCGACGATACGAGTCTCCAAGCTTTCAGACACGGTGCTATCATGCCTTTGTTGTGTGTCACGCCCTGACTCCGGCAGTCCGGCGTGCAGCAGCCTGCCCGAGCGGAAGCCTTATCACTGCGATTTAACGAAGACTGCTTTGTTGGGCCTGTCTCTTTTGGATCTTCTCTGAGACTAGCCCGCGGCTTCATGACAGATCCTACTTTGCACCGAAAACTGAGGCCGGAAAAGCGGCCATTACCCAATAGATCGGTTAAGGCAAATTCCTAACTAATAGGCAATAGTTAATTTTGAGCATCAAAATTAACTATTAGTTAGAAATGGTGAATTAACTAATAGTTAATTTTAGAGTTAATTTTAAGATAAAATTTTTTAACTAAAAATTAGTTAATTCTGTGGAATTAACTATGGAAATTAACTTTTTTCAATAGCTGAAAAGTCATGAAATTGATCAGAAATAAGCATGAAAATCCAGAGCCAGGATGCATACACAGTAAGCATGGTCGTATCGTGGCCTCCCTTCCCTGGCCCTTGCCCTGCAGTGCGGGTCACAACCCCAGGCGACGGATTTGACACCGCCTTAATGCGGGCACCGCAGGCCCATGAGTCACGACACCCCTCTTCTTGCCTTCCGCCTGCAGATTAGCACCCCAGCGGGCACTTTAGCTCATCGTCCCGCTGTCATACCCCTCGAAAGGGGCGTTGGCTTCAAGGTGCCTGGGCCGCCCTGTCACCCGGCCAACGGTAACACACCGACCAAAACCCACAAACCGGGAAGTCAGTGTAGGTAGGGCTGAGAAAACTCTGACAGCTCAAAGTTTCGCAGAACAATAACCATGTCGAGAGCTCAAACATTCGCACCAGTGTGTCCATGGTGTGTATATTAGCTCAGAAAAGGTTTAGGGTTATCAAAACTGCAAAAATAACCATGTGGAGAGAGTGCACATGAAAGCAAGCATCATCATGTCTCATATAGGAGACGTGCATCGGAAAGTAACCATGTGCAATTCCAAAGCTTGAACCCCAGACCAAACATCCTTGAATGTCCTTGAAGCTGTGTTTGGGATTCATGTGTGGTTGTGTTCCCGTGTACGGTTTTGGGTTTAGGGTCGTTCTTGTCAGAGGAGACTTGCATCCCACAGTAACCATGGCAACTCCAAAAAACTTGAACCCCAGACAGAACACCCACGAACGTCCCTGAAGCTTGGTTTGGATTTTTTTTGGTGTTCAGGTGTAGGATTGGGAAGCGGGTCGTCCCTAAAACTCAACCCCAAAAACCCATCCCACTGTAACCATGACAAAAGCAACAAGCTTGAACCCCGCAGTGAACAGCCTTGAACACCCTGGAAGCTTTGTTCGGATTTAGGGTTGTTTGGGGTCGTCCCTAAAACTCAACCCCAAAAACCCATCCCACAGTAACCATGACAAAAGCAACAAGCTTGAACCCCACAGTGAACAGCCTTGAACACCCTGGAAGCTTTGTTCGGATTTAGGGTTGTTTGGGGTCGTCCCTAAAACTCAACCCCGAAAACCCATCCCACAGTAACCATGACAAGTGCAACAAGCTTGAACCCCACAGTGAACAGCCTTGAACACCCTTGAAGCTTTGTTCGGATTTAGGGTTGTTTTCACGTGCAGGATTGGGTTTAGGGTCGTTCTTGCTACTCCGTCTGAGAGGAAAAAGAAAAAGTAACCATGACCAAGTCTTCGAGTGGAAAGAAAGCGCTTGTGTTTTCACTCAACGGACGACAGGTGCAGCCCCATCCCTATTCGCCAGTGTTCCAACATCTTTGTGTTGGCAGCAGCAGCCTTTGTGCCACGAACGCAGTTTTGTGCCACCTTGCGAGTGATGCCCATGAAGTCCTCATTGGCGAAGCACCAAACCAGCCTGGGATTTACAGTGCCAGCCAACAGTGCACTGTGCAACACCATGTGCAGCTTCGCAGTTGTGTGGCAGAGCCAGGGGCAGTCTTCTTGCTCATGGAAGTGGTCTGCCACGAGTCCATGCAAGTGAGCCATCTGGAAGGCTGCTGCCTTGAACTGGTTCGCCGCAGCCTGGGGGAAGAAGTCCTCATCGCGGTACTCGTCCAACAAAAGCTCCATCGTGCAGTTGGTCTTGAGCATGGCGAGGATCATCCTGTGGAGCTGCAGTTGCCCGTTCATGTATTTCTCCCAGAGGTGCAACATGGGCAGAGCCAGGCCCTTGACTTCAGCTGCTCGTCCCCGAAGCTTGGGGGGCCCGCTTTTGCGGACGAACATCGTGAGTCTGTTGAAGTAGGCATAGCGATGCTTCACACCGAGAAGCCGGTAGAGCTCTTGGAGCTCACTCCAAATTGTGAGGAGATTGGCTTGGGGGGTGTCCGTCATCAAGTAAAAGCACATGTAGTAGAAGAGGCCCCCGTACACGTACATGTCCGATCCAAGATATTTGCTATGCATATAGTCCACTGCAACTGTCGCTCCAGACACTGCAGGGATGTCGAACAAAGGGCATTTGCTCCTCTCAGGAAATGCCCTCCAGCTCGCCGGGCGCCAGCAGAGCCCGACCCACGGAGCAGTCTCTCGGAAGTTTCTCCAATTCATGGCAGCTCCTGAGCCGGTTGCAGGGCACAGGGGACAACAGTTCTCATTGCTGCTCCAGCGTGGGAGAGACAAAGATTTGGCGAAGAATTCTAAGTCCCCTTGCAGGCAGACAAGGACTCCACAGAACCCATTGGCCAGCCAGTCGCCAGCCTTTCTTGCAGGCACAGAGCCCTCTGGGAACCTTTGCTGAGCTTTGGTTGGACAGATGCAAAAAAAGCGCCAGAACAGTATACAGTAATCATGGCAGCAGACGAATACAAAAGAAAACCTGGGAGCAGGAAAAAGTAACCATGTAGCGAACCCTCGTAAATATTCATATGGCAACAAAACCATCTGTGTATATATACATAGATATATATATCTATCTTAATCTATATATACAAACATATTTGACTGAAGAAAAGAATACTTTATGCGGCCAGGCTCGGTCTTCCTTTCCAGTCGTGGGAAGGCCACTTGCCGTGATAGAGGGCTGTAAAGGACCACTTGAGGATCCGAAAGAAAGTCTCCAACGTCCCATTGTCACCGGCGAGAAGAAGCTGCTCGAACACAGACCAGACCAGGAACAAAGTTGCCTTGCTGCCGCCCCTGCAGAGCATACAGTGCCAGTTGAAGGTCTGCAGGAGCTTGGCCCAAACTTTGCCCAGGCCAGTGGTTGGGACGGCATCGCCGTGTAGTGCCAAAGGCAAGCAAGTTTTTCTGAAGTCATCTTTGTCAGCCAATGTCCCATCCGCCATACACGGATGCTTGTCAAAGTGTTTCCAGAAAGCCTGCAAAGCTGGAACCCCACCAGGTAGAAAGGAAGCTTTCCAGTACCCTGGATAGTGGTGGTAAAGTGCCGAAAAGACTTCGTGCGGCAGCATGAAAGCTTGAGCACTTTGTCCAGTCTTGAAGGGCAGGACCTCTTGAAACGGCCTCGGCAGCTTGCATTTGCCAGGCAGATAAGCCATCAGGTCCCTGTGGCAGTTGTTCGAGTGGGCCCCTGCAGTGCCTATTTCTGCAAGCTTCTTTAGGCGGCCCGGAACATCGCTCTCTGTCAAGCCAGCTGCCAACATGTCCTTCTTCGTCAGAGCAGCTATTCGCTGGACTTGCTGCGGCGTCAAGTCCCCCCATGCCCAAGCCTCCTCAAGGAATTGTGCCAACCCAGAATCCGCAGTAGAAGACGTCGCCGGGGTTTCCTCGCGAGCCAGCTGTTGCAACCGCTGTTTCTGTCCTCCTTTTCTTCGTTTCGGGGGTGGGACGTCGT